AGTCGACGTCATTGTCTTTGCCTAAGAGTGTCTAAGAGACGCTACTTGTATGCGAACGTCTGCCGTCCCTCCGGTGAGTACCGATCGCACATGGATAGAAACTATTTTCATTCATTAATTTTTAATAAACAAAAATTTCTCTACCCAGATGGGATTCGAACTCACGACCTTTAGGTTTAAAGGTAGGCGCTCTTACCACTGAACCACAGAGGGGGTTGAACTAAATATTAAACTAAATATTATAGCTATAAAATTCATCCAATTTTTCGAAACTTACAGCCTTTCGAAACGAAGGTATTTTTGAAAGATCGACATAGGAAAGTGGAGGGGAAACTGTTAGCTCCACTCTCCAAAATTTCGTCAGTCTCAGTGTAGTGGCTTTAGAAAGCAATATACTTATACTTCTTTGAGTAAACTATTTTGTGTATTTTGAACAAAAAAGTTTTAACTAAACGTATTTAATTACTTTTTGATTGAAAATTGTAAGGTATATTTAAAACTATTGAATGAATAATTATTTTCAACTTGTATAATCAGTAAAAAATAATATTTATTATAGATTATATCAAAATAAATAGCAGACTCTGGCATTAACTTGTTCAAGCAGTAATAGTTTTAAAGTAAGTATTTTCCTTTTTAATTTTTGTTTTATAAATGACTAAATTATTGTTATGCAAGTTAAACCTTTGTTTTGAACTATTTTTATTGCTTTTACTTTACTGTTATAATCATAATTAATTTCAACTTAATAAAATAAAAAGGCTTTACAGATTTTAGAAATACGATTATGCTTGTTATAACTTTATATATTTTTAAAAGATTCGTTCTATATAAGCTTGTAATATTCTGATTTTTCATTAATAATAAAAAAATCTTTTTTTGATTTATTTTAGACATCTGAAACATATTTCCATTTAAAAAAAGAAGATCATTTTTTAATCTTTTTGTACTCTTTACGAGGTACTTCTTTAAAATTTTTGATTACATTGTACATTAAATGAAAGATAGGTAAAGAAATAATAAATAAGACTTACTCACAATCAATTTAATTAACCTATTCAGACGACCGGTTTCGCTTTCTACAATATGCAAAGCATCTTCAGGTCTCGATACAAAGTTAAATAAATGCTGACATAATAATAAACCCATATTAGGGTGTTGTCTAATAAAGATAAACAAAGTAGATGTTATAAAATTACAATAATTATGCCAATATTTCTGTCTGTGGTTTTTCAAAATGAATAAAAAGGAATAAAAAGGTATAAAAAGTTTTAACAGACAAGGTAAGACCCACAAATTGTTATGAAATAGTCTATTAGATTGTAATAAATTAATAAATGAGCAAATAAATAAAACATTACTTACATGCCGGTACTCTATTAATTGATGGATGGTAGAACATGGTTGAAACGATCATATATTGTTGAATGGAGAACTTAAGTCTGCTATTGTATTTGTTTGACAATAAACGGGAAGTTATTGAGGAGATAGATTTGATCCAATGAAGTAGAGATAGGTGTAATGTGATCTGTAAGTAATCTCTACTTCATTGGATCAAGTCTATCTCCTCAAGAACTTCCCGTTTATTGTCAAACAACTACAATAACAGACTTAAGTTCTCCATTCAACAATACATGATAGTTTCAACCATTTTCTACCATCCATTAATTAATAGAGTACCGGCATGTAAGTAATGTTATATTTATTTGCTCATTTATTAATTTATTACAATCTAATAGCCTATTTTATAACAATTTGTGGGTCTTACCTTGTCTGTTAAAACTTTTTATGCCTTTTTGTTCCTTTTTATTAATTTTGAAAAACCACAGACATGTAATATTGGCATAATTATTGTAATTTTATAACATCTACTTTGTTTATCTTTATTAGAGAACACCATAATATGGGTTTATTATTATTTCAGCATTTATTTAACTTTGTATCGAGACCTGAAGATGCTTTGCATATTGTAGAAAGCGAAACCGGTCGTCTGAATAGTTAAATTAAATTGATTGTAAGTAAGTCTTATTTATTATTTCTTTACCTATTTGAAAGAATTTATCTGTTATAATCTTTTATTTATAATCAGGGGAAATTTAAATTAATCAACGCAAACGAAGAAACTCTTAGTTTCACGGATATTTTCTACGATTCCAACGCAAGCAAAGAAAATTTAATGAGAATTGGTTGTGAGGTGATTGTGGTTCTATACTCTACTGCAGTTGATATAAATTATTAAAAAAAAATCACAACAATACAGTATCTTTAAATGATTTCAGTTACTTACAATTTAACAGAAATATCGGTAAATCATGTTTTAAACTAGAAATTCTGGCACCAACTGAAGGTGCAGCCAAACAGCATGTTCTTCGGGTTTACTATCAATTACAAATGTGGTTAGGTAATAAGTTAGACGCTTGTGCCTATGGTTGGAGACGAAGTGCCATTGGTTTTGAACCAATTTATACTCTAGATAATTTAATTCCCGAAGAGACATTAAAGCACATTACATGCAAATGCACAGGTTGCAAAACTACTGGTTATGGGTGCAGAGAACGTTGTTTGAATTGTACGAATTTGTGTATAAATTGTACTGAGGAAGAAGTAGGGGAGAAAATATGCTGCAACCTTGGAATAGTTACGTTTGACGACGACAGTGATTCTGAAGATGTATATTTATAGACTGACTTAATAAGTGAAGATAAACAACCTGCAACAAAAAGGTTGAGAGCTGACAGTAAAGTCGAATGAATGAATCAAATTTTAACTTTTAAACCAATGTATGTAAAGAAAATAAAAAAAGTAAAGTTCAATAAACATTAATAAGACAATATAATTGGCAATATTATTTTAAAGTCGTCTACTTTAAAATGCATAATGTATGTCTGAATTGTCAATATAAATGAGTCAGATAAAATTAAATTATTAGAAGAATTTTTCACTATGTAACCAAAAACAAAATTTGTTTAATTTACTGTTTGTATTTTGAGAACGATTTCCGAAGTGGAAATTGAAACGTCAATAAACGTATTTTTATCTTTAAAAAAAAAAATTAATAAGACAAGTTATGAAAATATCGACTTTTATCGCTATTTTATCAAAGCAGTAACGCATATTAGATTAATATTGTATATCATATTTGTACGAAAAATAGAATAAAAATCAATATTGGTAATTATAAAAATATAAACAATTATAACTAATATAAGAAATATAATAATATACTGTGTAAAAAATAACCTGAAATTTAATTTATAAAATGTATAAGCATTATTACAGACAGACTATTTCAGCCAAATTTAAAAAAAAAAACAGTAAGTTTTTACGGTGAATTTCAAATGACTTCAATTTTTTCGAGGTTTCCCATATTTTCCGGCCAGTGAAAACTATGTAGTTACTCATATTTCGACGAGCTACCCCAGAATAAAAAAAGGTATTCACCTGCAATGGAAGCCGAGATAGTGTAAATTTTTCCTACGTAATTCAATTTGAAGTTCCGATGTCGAAAAAAAAAATGGGGCTGAAACAGTTATCCTCTCCACTTTCCTATGTCGATCTTTCGAAAGAACTTTCGTTTCGAAGGGCTGTTGTAAGTTTCGAAAAATTAGATGAATTTTATAGCTATAAGTTTTAATATAAAGTTTAGATTTTTATTCAAATGTTGTGCAAAGTTTACTTCTTAATGTTTATAAACAACGAAGATATGAGTTTTTTAAAAATAGTCACTAACTTCGTTCCTATTGGTCATAGAAGGTTGTATATTTTTTAATGTGAGTTTTTTTTACCAGATATCTAATGGTTGTACCTACAAGTCTGTAGCTTAAAAAATATAGAAGTTATTACAATTGTTTATAAATAAAAAACATACTTCTTTTTCAAAGGTTTATTTTGTAAATAATTTCAATGAAAACGCAATATGCATTTAACTAATGAGATAGTTTAAGTCTTAAGGAACCCTATAAAATTTGTTAAATGTGTCTAGCATCCTTAATAGAGTGAGTTCAATAGTTTAAATATCTAGCCTCAGGGATAAATAACACAAACAAATTTAAAACAAATTTTAAAGACTGTAATAATTCCTCGATGTTCAAATGTATTAATAACATTTTATTTTGTTAATAAAAAAAATTAATATAATTTATAAATTAGTGCAAAAAAATTGCTTTTTGCAAATATCTTCGTAAATTATTTATCAATTTTAATTTAAAAAAAAAACTGGAAAATAAAGATAATCTTGATATAAAAAAATTATATAAATATTGTTTATGTAAAATATAAGGAAAAGAACTTAGACGAAAAATCAAATTGTGACCATAAGTTATTGTTAAAAAAACGCAAGGTAAAAATCGATGATTTTTGCATAACCAGACTGGCCTAGTCTGAGTTATTTTAAATGTGTATAAGCTTAAAACAGTCACAGTACTTTTGTAAAGCTACTTTACTATATTTAGCATAAATTTTTTATTCATTAAATTATTTAATTTGATAAAATAAGCCTTTCTCTTAAATTTGGTGCTTTCAGAATTCATGTAGACACAATAGTTTACGCATAATAACGTTGTCGAGTTTAGAATTTTTATGCTTTTTCAGTAAAATTGTGTCACCTTTCTATACTATAGTGCAGCGGTCTTCACCTTTAGTATTTAAGATCAAATAGCGACCTTACCTTGTTTATATATTATTTATGTAAAGTTGTAAAATGTAAAGTTAAAGTAAAAATGACGTTAATGATGTTAGATCACTGTATCAAAGAGTTACTTGAGAAAATCGTTACTTCTTTGGTCTAATATCTAATATTTTTAACGAAAATCGTTATAAAAACAAGTATTTTAAAACATAATTTGAAAAGTCTATAATATTTTTAATATTGATGCTTACTTAGTTTATAACAAAATATTTTAACGAACTTGCACAGAAAACTGTTCAAAACACGTCTACTAAAAATATAAATAACATTTATAATTTATTAACATACCCATAACAAGTATAAAAAAACTTACCTTTTATGTTTATTTAAGCAAATGAATATTCACAACAACTCTTCACCAAAAACAAAGACGGTGCTGAAGTATATTGTCGTACAAAGATAATGTCAAAGTAGCAGGATATCGGTTGGCTTTCTAAATGCTATCAGTAGCGTATCAACAATGTTATTGTTTGTTTATTTTATATTTAAACAAATATTATATTAAGTTACTTTTTGGGAGAATTGGCTTATATTTTTTGATGAAATTCATCTTGTGCGTCACTAGACTTGAAGACCGCAACTACAAGAATACGAGACCGCTAGTAACGGATCACTTAATTTTTTAGAATACCACAAAAGCAAGTTAAAGAAATTTAGGTTATTAACTAAATTCTGGCACATGCGTGAGTGAGTATTTACACAAAACAGTCGGCAGGGCTCAACAGATAAATATAATTATACTCGATTTGTAAATGCAAGATAGCACAGTTTTTGCATCCTTTACAGATGACTCTTCCAATATACCAACAGAAGAAGAAGTTGCCAACGCAATAAAAAGGGTCACAAACAACAAATCCCCTGGCGAAGATGGTATACCGTCTAAGCTCTTCAAATATGGAGCAAACGCGCTAAAATAATACATAATAAAATTGTTGCATCCATTTGGCGAGAAGTAAAACTCCCAGACAGTTGGAATGTATTTATATATATATATATATATATATATATATATATATATATATATATATATATATATTAGTGGATTCTCTTGGGCTTGGGTTCATAAAAAAAATTTAGTTTGATGCTAAGACATTTTTATATATTTTTTCCGACGTTTCGGCAGGAAATCCATGCCTTTTTCAAGAGAATATATATTGACTAAAAAAAAGCATTTTATGACAGACATAATACGGTTTAAGAAATAAACTTTTGACTTACCAAGCATGTAAATATTAGGTATTAACAATTAGACGTCACAATTAAAATAATATTTAAAATAGGATTGATCGATCGACCTCTGAAGTCAAACGAGGTTTAAAACAAGCTCCACATAAATCCAGTTTTTAGGTGTTAAAAAGCATCAAACTAATTACAGTTTTACTTAAAAAGTGAATCTAAGTGATTTTTCTCACCACAAGTATAAAATCTGTGAGTACAAATATTTATTTAATCTAAATAATAAACATTTAAGTTAAATCCACGTAAACAAGAATCAATTTTGGTTATAAAGCAACAACTTTTTACTGCTACCGTTTATCAGTTCTGATATCGAGGGGACAGGACCGGACTAGGTTCTTGAGAATTATCGATGATAATAATTAAAAATGGATAATTTTCCGCCTCTTGGGGCCCCTGAACAAGAACTGGAGCAAAGTTCATCAAATACAAATATGAAACAATCTTTTGCAACTGTCACAAATCAAAATGTACCTAAATTTCCATCCAAAACACAAGCAATAGTTTTTCCTGCGTTGGAAAATACAAAGTTGGAAGACTATCTATTTGCAGTTGGTGATTTAATGCATCCAAAAAATATTCTCTTCTCCTCTAGAATGTCAAATGGTCGAAATTGCATTTATCTAACAAGCGAAACTTTAGTTAACAATTTTCTACAAATTAACAAAGGGATAATAACTGTAAACCATCAAAAAATTCAGGCTCGTAAATTAATGTCACCAAATGAAAGATTATTGATATCAAATGTTTGTCCTTCAATCCCACATTCAATTATTGAAAATGAACTTACTAATTTGGGATTAACTTTGGTAACTCCAATAAATTTTTTAAAAATTGGTACATCAAATCCTAATTACAAACACATTTTCAGTTTCAGAAGGCATACTTTTATTTCTCCCCCAGTCTCATCAATACCCGACTCAATAATTGTGAATTACGAAATGACATCATATCGTATATTTCTTGTAATGGAGAAGGATCTATGTACTAATTGTAGGCAAGCGGGACATTCGGCTGGAAATTGCCCAACTACTAAAGAAACTCAAACATCTCAAACACAAAATGCTGCTCCAACTACTTCAACTGATCCAATAGACAATGAATACATTCCCCTAACGCAAAACATATCTTGCTCGGCTCCTATACTATCGACTAAATCGGATATCCATATTTTACCATCTACTCATGTTAAAGAAAGCACTGATTTTCAACAAATGTCCCACGATCCTCCCTCAAACAAACGAAATCGCTCTGAAATTATAACCCCTCCACCAAATGATACTCCAGTAAATAACCCCTTTCCAGACCCTAAATTAAAAAAGCCAAAGTCTTCAATCACAAACATAGGAACCATTAAAGTAACTGACGATATAAAAAATTCAGCTAGACGAATATATGAAGATACTTCAGTAAACCATTCAATATCTTATGAAACATTAGTAGATATACTGGAAAATGCTCATGGTACTCCTGACCCAGTAAGCTTAATAAAAACGTATACAAATGATCTAGAAAACCTATTGAAACTTTTAAATCAACTACATGAGAATTTATCAAATAGGAAATCAAAAAATAGATGCACTAGACTTCGAAACAAAATACTTAAATCCATACAATCAGAAACTAACACCGAATCCGATAACGAAATTGTAAAAGATATATTATAATGGCTTTCTCAATTATCCAGTGGAACCTACGAGGATATTACACTCGCCTTGAGATATTACAACAAATGATTAAAAAACTTACTCCATCCATACTTTGTTTACAGGAAACTCATTTTAAAAATACTAAAGTTCATAATTTAAAACACTACACATGCACATATAAAAATAGAGAAAATGTAGACCATGCTAGTGGTGGCGTAGCAATTTACACTCATTCATCCATCGATGTAGACATTCTTCAAATCAATACACAACTTGAAGCGGTCGCAATTACTATCAAAGGGCCTGTAAAAATGAACATATGTAATATATACATTCCACCTACACAAAACCCAAGCAATAATGAAATCTCAGACTTGATTAAACAAATACCTTCACCTCGTCTAATAGTTGGAGATTTTAATGCACATAATTACATATGGGGATCAAAAATAATTACTCCATTAGGTCGTAGAATCGAAATAATGTTGGACAATTTTCAGTTAAACCTACTAAACGATGGAAGAAATACTCATTTTGACATTTCTACTGGTAAATCCTCTGCCATAGACCTTTCAATATGTGATCCAGCATTATCAGCTACCTTATCTTGGGATGTACTTTCTGATTTAAATGATAGTGACCATTTTCCGATTGTAATAACAAATCCTGACAGTATACAATACTCTTGTAATGTTGAAAAATGGAATATCAAAAATGCAAATTGGCAAGAGTATTATAATCTAGTTTTAAATGAAATGAATGCATTACATGAAATTTTACAATCAAATAATAATATTGATAGTCAAATTCAAGAGTTTTCCAATGTATTATTGAATGCTGCCGAAAAAGCCGTTGGTAAAATGAATCCTAAACAATTAAATTCGTCAGTCCCTTGGTGGAATTCTGAATGTCAAGAAGCTATTAAACTTTCAAAAACAGCATTAAATCGATTCAGGAAATATAATACACTTGAAAATAAATTAGAATTCAAACGACTAAAAGCACGAGCTAGATTTATAATTAAAAGAAGTAAACGTGAATCATGGAAAAAGTTTGTTTCAGAATTAAATTCATCTACACCAATTAATAAAGTATGGCAAATGGTACGAAAGATATCCGGGAAAAATACCCCAAACCACATTAACTTCTTAGAAGAAAAACAAAAAATATACACTTCCCCTCTAGACATAGCTAATATTCTAGCTAATAGTTTTGAAAGATTCTCAAGTGATAATGTTCTTCCTCCAGATTTTTTGACCAAAAAAGAGAAAGAGGAATCCAAAGGTATTGATATACCGCCTGATGACCTTTCTCCTTTAAATTATCCCATAACCATGGATGAATTAGAATACTCACTCAATAATACAAAAAACTCTTCTCCCGGTCCTGATAACATTCCTGCAATATTTCTTCAAAAACTTCCTTCATCTGCAAAGAAACACTTGCTGAATATCTATAATAATATATGGAGATATAGCAAGTTTCCAAAAATCTGGAGTTCATCTATTGTCATCCCTATTTATAAACAAAATCAACCAAAATCTCTGTCACATTCATATAGACCTATTTCTCTAACTTGTGTAATGTGTAAAGTTCTCGAGAAAATCATATCCAACAGATTAATGTGGTTTTTAGAAAATAATAAATTACTTGCCCCGGAACAAAGCGGATTCCGAAAAAGTCGTTCAACACTGGATAATCTTATTAGTTTAGAGTCTGAGATTCATGAAGCAATGGCATGTGGACAAAAATGTATCGCAATATTTTTTGACATAACAAGAGCATACGATACAGTTTGGCGACATGGTATTGTTCAAACACTTAGTCGATGGGGAATAAAAGGTAATATAGCACAATTCATAAAAAATTTCCTATCTCATCGAACTTTTAATGTACGAGTTAACGGTACTTTATCTAATACAAAAATTCAAAAAAACGGAATTCCTCAAGGATCTAATTTAAGCGTCTCCCTATTTCTTATTGCAATAAATAATATTATCTCCACTTGTGACTTACCAGTAAAAGCTAGACTCTTTGCAGATGACTTAATCATTTTTGTTAAGGGGATAAATGATAAAACCCTTCAGACCCATCTACAGAAAGTGCTATGGAATCTCGAATTATGGACAAATTCTACAGGTCTTCAATTATCAACAACAAAATCAAAGGCTATGCTATTTTCAAAAAAAAGAAGTTATATCACTCCAGAATTAAAACTATTTAATAAAGAAATAAAATATGTTGAGAAAATTAAATGTCTAGGCATGACATTTGACAACAGATTATCCTGGAACCACCACATTCATGATCTAAAAAGTACTTGTCAATCTGCACTTAACGTTATAAAAACTGTTGCACACAACACGTGGGGAGCAGATAGTAAAACACTGACCCTTATGTACAAGTCATTGATCAGGTCCAAACTCGACTACGCTTGTATTATTTATGATTCAGCAAAACCATATATCATAAAACAACTCGATCGAATACAAAATAGTGCTTT